CAATCATGGTTTCAACCCTCTGCAATAGTTTTTGATGCTTAAATTATTCTATTTTTGGTCAGTTCCTTTTGGTTGGTGATCCTATGATCTTTGATAGCTTTATTGCTTTTAGGCACAGTAAGACGGGTTTTTTTGTTTTAAAGATTTTATTTATTTATTTGACAGAGAGAGACAGTGAGAGCAGGAACACAAGCAGGGGGAGTGGGAGAGGGAGAAGCAGGCTTCCCGCTGAGCAGGGAGCCCGATGTGGGACTCGATCCCAGGACCCTGGGATCATGACCTGAGCCGAAGGCAGACGCTTAATGACTGAGCCACCCAGGCGCCCCAGTAAGATGTTTTATGATAATCATATATATATTTCCTACCTTTGACCTGTCTTACGTCATTTCTTCAAGGGGCCCTTGCTTCTTTTTTTATAGAAAAGAATTTGAAAACTACCGACTGGATACTTGGGGAGCTCACTGCTTCTGTGTCATGAATGCTTTTAAATCCTTTGGTGGACAGAGGTAGGAAATACATACTTTCAATTCAAATGAAAGACTATTTTGTATTTTACTTCTTTATGATTTTCTTTTGAAAAAATTTAATTCCTCATGAAATTAAGTTATGTAATTCATTTTGGACTCACCTAATACCAATATTTTTTTTTAAGTTTCTATTTATTTGTTAGAGAATAGGCGAGAGAGAGAGTGAGCAAGGGTACAAGCAGGGGGAGCTGCAGGCAGAGGGAGAAGCAGGCTCCCTGCTGAGCAAGGAGCCTGATGTGGGACTCAATCCCAGGGCACTGGGATCATGACCTGAGCCGAAGGCAGACGCTTAACCGACTGAGCCACCCAGGCGTCCCCACCTAATACCAATATTACCATTAACAATACTAGTAAAGGCAGTTTAGATTTCTATTTCTCTTTGTCCTTGAGATACAGAATATTCTTGAGATATTCTCCTAATAGTAAGTCAAAATATTTTTTTAAAAAATTTTATTTATTTATTTGAGAGAGAGAGAGAGAACACGAGCATGAGCCAGGGAGGAGCAGAGGGAGAGGGATAAGCAGACTCTGTGCTGAGTGCAGAGCCCAACATGGGGCTTGATCACACAACCCTGAGATCATGACCTTAGCTGAAATCAAGAGTTGGACCCTTAACCAACTGAGCCACCCAGGTACCCCAGTAAGTCAAAATATTTTAACACCACTTGAACTTATTGTTCTTTATGTTGTCATGTTATAATATGATGTAGAGTCAAATTCATTGCTTTTGATATATAGGTTTGCTATTTTCCTTTGACTTAATTTTTTTAAAAAAGATTTATTTTAAAGAGCATGTGAATGGGGGGGAGGGGCAGGGAGAGAGAGAGAGAGAGAATCTCAAGCAGACTCCCCACTGAGCATGGAGCCTGACATGGGGTTTGATCTCACAACCCTGAAATCATGACCTGAGCCGAAATCAAGTCAGACACTTAACCCAACTGAGCCAACTGCCCCTGACTGAATTTTTTAAATAAAAGATGATATGTAAAGTATCTACATGGATCCAAAGTCAAAATAGAAATCAAAGTATAACTGAAAATAACTATCTTTCATCCTTGCCCTCTCCTGTTGTTTCATCTTGAGATTTCTTGTTGAAAGTACAGGCATATACTGTATTCCTCTCTTCTTTCACAAACATTAGCATAATATACATATCATTCTGAACTTACCTACTTTTCATTTAACATATCCTGAAGGTCACTCCCTAGGAGAACACAGGTACACAATATTCCACTGTACATTCATATAATTAATTCAGCCAGTCTATTGTTGGGCATCTGTGTTATTTCCAGTTTGCTGCATTTACAAATAGTGTTTTTATTTTATTTTTTTAAAGAGAGAGATTTTTTTTTAAAGATTTTATTTATTTATTTGAGAGAGAGAATGAGATGGAGAGAGCATGAGAGAGGGGAAGGTCAGAGGGAGAAGGAGACTCCCCGCCGAGCAGGGAGCCCGATGCGGGCCTCGATCCCGGGACTCCAGGATCACGACCCGAGCCGAAGGCAGTTGCCCAACCAAGCCACCCAGGCGCCCTACAAATAGTGTTTTTAAAAAATTCCTTTGTGTATACCACATTTTGTATCTTTGGGATAGAAGGGTGCTGATCTTATGGTAAATGCATGAGACTACACATGGCTATTACCTGATTCCCTCCTATATGAACTGTATTATTTTGCATTTTCATCAGCAATTTAAGAGTTCTTGTTTTTCCAGTCTTGCCAATGGAGTTTATTAATACACTTTTTGATTTTTGCCCATTTGATTGGGATGAAGTGGCATCTCAGTGTGTGTAACTTGCATTCTCATCTCAATTTTTAGACTCTTTAAGGATATTAGTCTGTGATATAGTTGCAAATATCTCCATTCTGTCATTCTCCTTTAACATTTAGTCCTATAAAATTATTTTTTTCTTCTTTATTTCTCCTGGATTTTTGAGTCATACTTATTGATATCTCCATTCCGGGGCTATAAAGGAATTTACCCATGTAGTACTTGTAAAGTTTCTTTCTTTTTATTTTTTTACATTTAGATATCTTGATTTGCTGGGAGTTCATCTTATGTTACACTGCCAGGGATGAATCTAATTTTCTTTCCCATAAATTTTATCCAACTGTGCTAACAGTAATTAAAAATTCTTTCTCAAGGGCGCCTGGGTGGCTCAGTTGGTTAAGCAACTGCCTTCAGCTCAGGTCATGATCCTGGAGTTCTGGGATCGAGTCCCGCATCGGGCTCCCTGCTCAGCGGGGAGCCTGCTTCTCCCTCTGACCCTCCCCCCTCTCATGTGCTCTCTCTCTCTCATTCTCTCTCTCAAATAAATCTTAAAAAAAAAAAATTCTTTCTCAAAATGATTCTAGCAGAATGGTTCCTGCAAAGAAAGGTGGTTAGGGAAAAACTAAGGAATGTTCTGTCATCTCTAAGGTAGACTAGAGAAGACATTATCAAAATTCACAAACATACCAATGGAAAGGGGTTCAAGAAACACGTACATTAGGCATTCAAGGAGATCCAGGAATTAACGATGAGGGAGAAAGGAGTACCTGACATAGCACACTGATACTAAACTCAACACAGAAGCCAAGGCAAAAGGGAAAAGGAATGCCCCATATTTATCTGTATATGGATGTCCAGAAAGTTATTTTTCTCAGTGAATTCATCACCTTAAAAAAAAATAGCATGAATGAAAATGGCTGGTTTATTACAACAAAGTAACATAACAAAAAAAATTCATTTTTCCCATGTGAGTTGAGAAATTCCACAGAAGACAATAATTTGGGAGGGAACTCTTGTTCCCTAATCCTGTTTAGCTACGGTTAAAGAACCGAATTATAACTGTGCTAAATACATGTATATAAGCTCAACATTCTTTAACTTACATAATACTACTAAAAGGTACTAAGAAAATACTCTTAGAATAAATTAAGTACTGAACTGATAAGGTACGTCATCGTTGGTATCTTGCAGTTATGTGTAAACTACAGAATTATCACCCCGTCCAGATCAGAGTTTAAACATTCTGGGTAAATCTCATTTGACTACTGTGTTAGTTTTTTCTATGTATGTTCATGAGTGAAATTATTCCGGAATTTGTTGTTCAAGGGCTACTCAACATCTCATTTTATTAATCAGAATTATGTTAGTCTTTTAGTATCTGCTCACAATTTTTCCATAGGATTTTCTGTTCCTTCAGGGGGTAGCCTGTACAATTACCTGCTCCTACATGATTTTTAAAGATTATTTTTTCCAATTGTTAAGTTTTTTTGGCCCCTTTCAGTTACTCTTGAAATTTAATCATTTAAAATGTTTTCCTAGAAAACAAACCATACTCTATTTAAAAGTTGGATCTAATAAGGCTTATATCTATTTATATGACCACTAAAAATATCCTCTAAAACATGTATCAGAATTCTTTCTTATAATGTGAAGGCATTGCCAAAGTCTAGTAATACTAGTTTTCTTCAAAGAAACATTTTTACTTAAAATAAAAAAAACCTTTTGTACTGTTCTTTATTCCATGATTTTTGCTTTATTTTCATTAAAACTTTCCATTAATTCAAACACCCATTGGGGCATTAGCTTGTTTAGTTCAGTAATCATTATTTAATTTGACAAATATTTAGACTCCACAACGTAACAGGCACTTTCATAAGTGCTGGAGATACAATGGTGACAAGAAGTAAACTGCCCTCAATTGTTTTAGTTACCTACACAGAGTAATTTCCATTGAGAACTTGCCATGGTCATGTTCATAGGATTTGATATATAAGAGTTTCATTATCATTCACAACCAAATAGCCTGTAATTTTTTTGATTTGCTTATTACTTTGATAATTATTTATATATGTAGTAATAAGTTTCCAAGAGGTCAGGATTCATTTGGCCATTTTCTAATTTCTAAATTTTAATTGTGTAAAATGGACAGGACATTTGGCTTTAGAAATTTGTTAGAGATAAATCACTTCCAAATGCCTTTAAAAACAAAACAAAAAACATTGCCGAGCACTCAACTACCCCATTTTCCTTAAAACCATAAGGCTTTCTTTATAGTATGGATTTTTTGGTGCAGCAAATGAATACTGATTCAAAGCTTTCTTCCCTTCATTCTGTTTTACTGGTTTTTCTTCAGAATTATCCTACTGTTCAATAAGATACATATACAGATGGCATATTTGTCTATATTTATTATATTGTCAAGGTCTTTATCTCATAGAAATGGTCTAATACTAATATTAATGATGGTCATGACATCATTTAAGTCGTCAAGCTCATTTAACCCTTATAATCAAATAAGGAAACAGACACAGATTTGAGTTACTTTCCAAAAAATACAGATATGTTGGAACTAAGGCATACCAAATAAGTTTTATGACATAGCTCAAGGCTTTCCAAGATTAATTACATAACAGAAATTCACTTTTAGTGTAATTTTGTGGAAGTGTAAGAAGATTTAAAAAGTGATGGAAGGTTGCCCTACACAAGTTAGATTTAAATTCTATGCAGAATAATATCAATGATGTGGAGAATGCTTTAAGAATTATTCAAAAGAGAGTCACAGTGTCATCTTATTCATAGGGTTTTACTCTGGTATTCCAAATGGAAAATTATTCAGTAAATGCTTTCCTCTATTAATACAGATTGCATTATGAATTCTCTGCTGTTGAGTGTGTTATGTGCTCTGACAGAGTCTTCCAATATTACACTTGTGGGGTTTCTCAAAAGAAGGAATTAACAAACATCAATTAATGAGTCATGAATAAAGACTTTCCTATATTTTTATATCATAAGATTTTATGAGAGTGAAATAAAGTGAGAGTTTGGAGAAAATGTCTCAAAATTTTTATATTCATAGGATTTCTCAAAAGTGTAAATACCCTGGTGTTGAGCAAAGTCTGAGTCCTGACTAAATGTGTTCCCATAGTCTTTCCATCGATAGAGATTCTTACCATTGTGAATTTTCTGTTCACTAAAATATGGATGGTGACCAAAGATCTGGCTACTTTCCTTATATTCATAGGAATCTGTATCAGTATGAATTTTCTTATGTCGTGTAAGTTGTGAACCCCAGATAAAAGATTTCCCACATTCTTTACATACATAAGGTTCCTCACCAGTATGTATTCTCTGATGTCGAGTAAGTTGTGAACCCCAGAGAAAGGCTTTTCCACATTCTTCACATTCATATGGTCTCTTTCCAGTATGGATTTTCTGATGTCGATTAAGTTCTGAACCACGAAAAAAGGTCTTTCCACATTCCTTACATTCATAGTTTCTCTCACCAGTATGAATTTTTTGATGTCGATTAAACTCCGAGCCATGAAGAAAGATCTTTCTACATTCCTTACATTCATGGACTTTCCTCTCATTATGAATTTTCTCATGTTGAACAAGATATGAGGCCCAAATAAATGTCTTCCCACATTGCTTACATTCATAAGGTTTCTTACCAGTATGAATTCGTTGATGTCGAGCAAGGTGTGAACTCCAGATATAGGCTTTTCCGCATTTCTCACATTCATAGGGTTTCCTACCAACATGCACATTCTGATGTTGAGCAAGATTTGAACCACGAATAAAGGCTTTTCCACATTCCTTACATTCATGAGATTTCTCAGTAGTGTGAGTTCTCTGATGTTGAGTTAGGTGTGAGCCACGAGTAAAAGCTTTTCCACACTCCTTACATTCATAAGGTTTTTCACCAGTGTGAATTCTCTGATGTTTAGTAAGATGTGATCGCTGACTAAAGGCCTTCCTACATTCATTACATTCATAGGGTTTTTCACCAGTATGAATTCTCTGATGTCGTGTAAGATCTGAGCCACAACTAAAGGCCTTCCCACATTCCTTACATTCGTAAGACTTCTCACCAGTATGAATACGCTTATGGACACTAAGTTGTGAATGAAATCTAAACGCCTTCCCACATTCCTTACATTTAAAAGGTTTTTCACCAGTATGAATCCTCCTATGTCCAGTAAGACTTGAACGCAAACTAAACACCTTCCCACATTCTTTACATTCGTAAGTTTTCTTAGCAGTGTGAACTGTCTGATATTGAGTAAGTTCTGAATCAGAAAAAAAGGTCTTCTCATATTCCTTATCTTCACAAAATTTCTCCCTAGTGTGAATTACTTGATGTTGAGTACACTTGGAACCAGAAGGAAAGGCTTTCCCACGTTCTTTAAATTCTTTCAGTTTCTTTCCTGTATTCTGTTTGTGATGTACATTAAAAGCTGTGTGATGTTTAGAAGTGGACATTTTTTCACTGGCGAGTGTAACCTGCTTAAAACATTCCTCCTGATTTTCCTGTTGTGTTTCAAACTGATCTTTGCTTTCCCAATCACCCCTAAAACACAAATATTCAAGGCTGTGTTTTTTACAAATTTCCAGTTGAGTCAATTCTCTCTCAAAAGTGACATTTTTTTGTGATAACTTCTTGCTCTGACATCTGGACTGCATGTCTGAAAGATAAGAAGATAAATTCATACTGTTTTACTGTTCAACAAGAAACAAAATGTCCAATGTAGATATAAAAAGCAAATCCTAAAATATGTAAGGCACACAAGAAGTGAATGACTTAAGAAATTCTCAAATTCTGGGCAATATGAAAAAGGGGCAAAAAATAAACAGAAATTAAAGAGAACTAATGAAAGTTGAGGTGAGTGATTAGATATATAAAAGCTTTGTTTTAGTCAAATCATCTGAGCAGTACAATTAAAAAAAAAAAAAAGATTATTCAGGTACCACCCAGTCATGGAATGCCAATGTAAATAAAAAAAAAAAAAAAAGATTATTCAGGTACCACCCAGTCATGGAATGCCAATGTAAAGATAAGACTGTTTCACTCGGGGCGCCTGGGTGGCTCAGTTGTTGAGCAACTGCCTTCGGCTCAGGTCATGATCCTGGAGTCCCTGGATCGAGTCCCACATCGGGCTCCCTGCTCAGTGAGGAGCCTGCTTCTCCCTCTAACCCTCCCCCCTCTTATGTAATCTCTCTCTCTCTCTCATTCTCACTCTCTCAAATAAATAAATAAATCTTAAAAAAAAAAAAAAAGACTGTTTCACTCAGTATGGTAAATCAACTCTTAGCATATGTTAAGCACCAAAAAAATAATTCTGTAAAAAATACATTACAAGACCAAAAAAAAAAAGGAAGAAATGGGGGGAATTTAGGGTGGAGTAAAGGATCTTACAAAAACCAAGTACCGGGAAGCACAATTGGGATCATTTAATCATATGATAATAATGTAATACACCTCACTGTCTAGTTGCTTCCATCTTTACTGACATGAGTACATAAACTGCTTCCGTATTACTTTCTGTACAGACAGGAGGAAACAAAAGGATATCTAAACTAACTCAAAGACAAGTATGCAGAAATGTAAGCATACCTACTTAATCATTTTTCAATTTGCCTTTGCAAAGACTTCACCCTGCTCATTTCCTCCACGGCACATAGCCAAGCCATCTTTTTGTCACATGACTCCAACCGAGGTGCTTTTGTTTTCTTTATTCTTGCATTTATAGTATTGCTCATCCATTCCGCTTTATGCTTTCAAGCCCTTCCCTAGGTCTCTTCTTCCTTTCCCTTCTATGCAAGGCCACTGAAAATATTACAGAAAGTATCTACAAATTTTCAAGTACTATGGAAGATACTATGGTGAATGTCTTATATAATTCTGAGCTTAAAAACAGTAATGTTGGGAAATAGAGTATCAGTCTAATATTGGGAGTAATCTAGTCTAGAGTTAATAGACAGTAGGAACTCAGTAACACAGGTATGTTCCACTTAGGTTAAAGGACATAATTATGGGTGATAGTTCAAAAAGGAAAATAGTTTGAGAAGTTGCCAAGGACGAAGAGTCTGGCATGAGCTAGGAATAAGTAGGACCACTCTGTGACTCATTTTTGATATGTGCCAGATTTGATGAAATTGTCATGTGGTTATGTTATAAATTTTTCTTTGGAGTAGAGCTGGGAACGGAGCAAGTACTCTAGTGGTGACAGAGAAAGTTGAAAGGCAGTTCAGTTACATGTGTAAGTAATAGTGTATTGTAGCAGAAAAAGGACAGACCACAGTTTCAGGCTCAGTTCTGTTTACTAACACCATCTTTAGGTTATGAGAAAATTACTGAGCTTAACTGAGCTCTTATTTTTCTGTATGACATTAGAGATATTAATATGCTTTTTTAAGAGATTTATCAAGAGGATTGGGAAAACATACTATGTCATAAAAACTTTTATTTTGAAATACAGTTGACCCTTGAACAACCCAGGTTTAAATCGCACAGGTCCACTTACACATGGATTTTTTTTTCCAGTATTGTAAATTTATGGTTTCTTTCTTATGATTTTCTTTTTTTTTAAAGATTTTATTTATTTATTTGACAGAGAGAGACACACAAGCAGGGGGAGTGGGAGAGAGAGAAGCAGGCTTCCTGCAGAGTAGGGATCCCAATGCGGGGCTCGATCCCAGGACCCCGGGATCATGACCTAAGCTGAAGGCAGACGTTTAACGACTGAGCCACCCAGGCGCCTCTTTATGATTTTCTTAATAACATTTTCTTTTCTCTAGCTTACTTTAAGAATCCATTATATAACACATATAACATATAAAGTATATGTTAATTTATGTTATCAGTAAGGTTTCTAGTCAACAGTAAGCTACTAGTAGTTAAGTTTTTGGGAAGTTAAAATTTATACATTAATTTTTTAAAGGATTTATTTATTTTAGAGAGAGAGAGCTCAAGCAAGTGGGGGAGGGGCAGAGGGAGAGGGAGAGAATCTTAAGCAGACTCCCGGCTGAGCACCAAGCATGAAGCGGTGCTTGATCTCATGGCCCTGAGATCATGTCCTGAGCCAAAACCTAGTCAGACACTTAACCAACTGAGCCACCCAGGTGCCTCTACATGAATTTTTGACTGTGCAAAGGTTGGCATCCCTAAACCCTTCAAATTGTTCAAGGGTCAACTGTAATTATAGATTCACAATAAGTTGCAAAGAGTACCCTTTACCCAGTTTTGCCCGATGAACACATCTTACATAATTAAAGCACAGTATCAAAATCATGTAACTGGCATTGGCACAATGAATATATATAGTTATGTCACTTATCACATATGTGGATTCCTGTAACCACCAACCACAATCAAGATACAGACCTAAACCATTATTACATAGATTCTACCTCTTGTGCTACCTCTTTATAGCCATAACTATGACCACCACTCTCCTGCCCATCCCTAACCCTTGGCAACCACTAATATATTTTCAATCTTTATTATTTAGTGATTTCCAAAATGTTCTATAATTGGATTCATTTGGCATGTGACCTTTGGCATTTTTCATTCAGCACAATATCCTGGAGATTCATTTAAGTTGTTTTAGCTATCGATAGTTCAGAAAAAGAACAATTTTAGAACACAAATATAACCTCTGGAGTTCAAAACCATAATTCCAATAAGGAAATAAAATTTATTTTCTTTCCTTGATATTTCTTTTTTTTTTAAAAGATTTTATTTATTTATTTGACAGAGAGACAAAAAAAAAGGGGGGGGGAAGAAGCTCCAAGAGTATGTTACTTCAATCTGAGTTCTGCCCATACTAGAAAATTCATCAATTAGCCTCAACTTGCCAAATATGCGCCTTGTTTCCTCTTGACAGCCTGGACTTGTCTTTTATGACACTGCAGTCTCTTTGTTGTCCTCCACTAGCCTTTTTTTTTTTTTTTAAGATTTTATTTATTTGACAGAGAGAGACACAGCGAGAGAGGGAACCCAAGCAAGGGGAGTGGGAGAGGGAGAAGCAGGATTCCTGTGGAGCAGGGAGCCTGATACGGGGCTCGATCTCAGGACCCTGGGATCATGACCTGAGCCGAAGGCAGATGCTTAATGACTGAGCCACCCAGGCACCCCTGTTGTCCTCCATTAGCCTTAAACTCTCTTCTACCGCTTACTATTCACTGTAGCCAGAAGCCATTTTCACCTATTATCCTGATTTTCAACTAAGCAGCCTATCAGGCCTTCTCTTAATGTAGAACCTATTTTGCCAAAATTTATGGACATGTTCCAGTCACAGAAAAGAATACAAGTTTCTTAATAGGTTATATACTCTTTGTTAACTCTTCTTATCCCAAAATGAAACTGGAAAATCAATAAATGTGCAGGAAATGCAGAAGCAAGGAGAAATTTAGGCAAAATAAGAAAAATTCAAGATAAAGTAGGCAAAATAAAAACGGGGTCAAAAGTTTTTTTAGGGAGAAATTTACAAATATCTAAATGAAGACATTTACAAGTATCTAAATGAAAAAAGAGAGAAAGAAATTGAGTCAAAGCATTGATAAATTGACTACTGGAGAAAAAGAATGACACTTACCTTTTTATAACATGAGGGAAAGAATTTGAAGAGTACTGAATTAGAGTGGTATTTGGAGGTGAAGATGAGGGTCATTTGGAAATTCATGGTGAAAAGGTTACTTTTGACTCTAGGTCTCAGATCTTTATCCATAGGTTTTTATCCCTTGAGGAAGAGATTCGAGGCCAATATTTCAGAGATGCTGCTGCCTCACTAAACATCTGGGCTCTTATCTACAATGATGGTGTCCTGTGCTGGCTCAGCCCTCACTCACCTGGGCAAGGTCCTCTTGTCTCATCCTGTAAAACCATCCAGGGCTCCTTCCCCTTCTCCAGTAAAGAGAACACATCTGGCTGATAAATGCAAAGTCCTGATCAGAGATAAGAAACAGGAAATGACCATGTGGTAAAGATTTCAAAATTTGCAACTAGTCCCTCGGTTATGGAGGAAGAGAGACAATTATAGGAAGAGCAAGAAAAAGGTATAAAGTATTTCTAAAGGATGGAGAAGATGGAGGTTCCCACTGATGACGGCTATTACCAAATTTATAAAGCATAAACCATTTTCCCAGAAAGAAGTCAGGAATTCCCCCAGATACTTAAAAGACAATTCAAAAATTCACAATGTAGAAATCAGAAATTTCTGGGGTTAGATTCTGAATCTTACCCAGTGAGATCATGTTGCTGTAGTTCTCCAACATCACATCTCTGTACAAATGTCTCTGTTCCAAGCTTAGGCATTCCCACTCCTCCTGAGAGAAGTCTATAGCCACATCCCTGAACATCATCAACTGCTGAAACAAACAATCCAAGCATCAACAGTGAAATTAAAAAATCTTTTAGATAGAAGTGGGAAGAAATGAAAGTGCGCACTGTAGGAAGTAGTATACTCACTGAGCAAAAAACTGAAGTTGGCTGCCTGTAGTATAGGGGAAATGACATGGAAATTAGTGACTGAAGCTGAGTGCCTATATGCTCTTAAAATCTTCTGTTGTTCAGTCACAACATCCTTATGACCTTCCAGTGACAAACACCAGACAATAGGATGGCAGCCCAGAATTAAGAGTTCTTTGTTGATACCACTGGGATGCCATGCCAGGCTTACAGGACTAACTCCAGATTTATTATGCGACACTTTTTTCCCCCTTAGGCTACTTTTTAGTTGAATTTTCTGTTAGCTGAAGTTGAAAGGATTCTTAGAAGACACACTTCCTAACTGAATACCATTTTCTGTGGGAGTGTATAAAATCTCTGGGCTCTCAGATAAGTAGCTGACAATCAACACATGTCTTGTTAATAATATTAATCTCTCACTGATTTCCTGGCAAGATCCCAGATCTCTCTGAATTTTGCCAACTAATAAAACGGAACACCAACCAACACCAACTCTCACCTTTACTAACTGAAACACCCCATTCTACAGAGTAAATAAAAGCTTTCATGTAGAGTGTCCCTTTGACCCACTCAGTTCCACCTTGTTAAGCCACAGATTTGAAAAGAAAGTCTCTACTATTTCCTCTAAGGAAAAATATTTCTCCTCCTTCAGTACTCTGCCAAAGTATTAGGACATGGGAGGTGCTGAATGCCATGTTGGAAAGAAGAGGGACACCTAGGAAGGCGGTGGACTGTTTCACAGCTATCACTTACCACAGTGAATAGTGACTCAAGTAAGCAGCTTAAGGATAACAAAGTATTCATATGATGTGATAAAAATGATTATAATTTTGGAGAGAGGCAATTCCAACTCACATGGGCCATGACTTAAAATTCCAAGAATCAATCAGTCTTCTAGACTCCTCTCCTGGTGAAGCAGAGTCCTGAGAAAGCAGAGTTAGAAGGAAGGAATCAGGAGAGGTCAGGTTTACCTCAGAGCTTTCAAATGGACTAAGAATTCCATTTTCTTCCCTGAAGAAAGATCAGAGGGAGTCTACAGAAATCCTGGCCCAAACCAAAACCCAAGTGACTCATTCTCCCTCCCTTTTTCCCAGTCCTAAGTAACCACTAATTCACTTTCTGTCTCTATAGATTTCCCTATTCTGGACTTTCATATGAACGGAATCATACAATATGTGAACTTACTGTGACTAGTCTATCTCATTTAGCATAAAGCTTTCGAGGTTCATCCAAGTTGTAGCATGTATCAGTATTTCATTCCTTTCTATGGCTGAATAATATTCCATTGTATGACTAGACCACATTTTTGTTTACCCATTTATCCACTAATGGACATTTGGGTTGTTTCTACCTTTTGACTGTTATAAATATGCTGCTATGAACCTTTGTGTACAAGTTTTTATGTTCGAATACTTGTTTTTGGTTTTCAGAGTACAAGTTTTACACTTCACTTATTAAATTTATTCCTAAATATTTTATGTTTTTTGATGCTATTGTGAATGGAATTGTTTTCTATATGTAATTTTTGGATTCTTCATTGCAAATGTATAAATACACATTTGATGGGGGGGGAGGGGCAGAGGGAGAGGCAGAGAGCGAATCTTCAGCAGGCTCCATGCCCAGGGCAGAGCCTGATGCGGGGCTTGGTCTCACAACCCTAAGGTTGTGACTTGAGCCAAAATCAAGAGTTGGACGCTTAACTGAGTTACCCAGGTGCCCCTACACTTGATTTTTTTTTTTTTTAAGATTTTATTTATTTGACAGAGAGAGAAGAGAGACACAGCAAGAGAGGGAACACAAGCAGGGGGGGAGCGGGAGAGGGAGAAGCAGGCTTCCCGCTGAGCAGGGAGCCCGATGTGGGGCTCGATCCCAGGACCCTGGGATCATGACCTGAGCCGAAGGCAGTCACTTAACCGACTGAGCCACCCAGGTGGCCCCCTACACTTGATTTTTATCTATTCATCTTTTGCCCTAAAACTTTTTTTTTTTAAGATTTCATTTATTTGTCAGAGAGAGAGAGTGAGAGAGAGAGAGCACACACAAGCAAGGGGAGTGGCAGGCAGAGAGAGAAGCAGGCTCCACACTGAGCAAGGAGCCTGTTGCGGGTGGGACTCAATCCCAGGACCCTGGGCCTGACTGACTGAGCCACCCAGGTGTCCTCTTAAAACTTCTCTAAACTCCTTTATTAGTTCTAATAGTTTTTGTGTGTGTGTGGATTCCTTAGGATTTTCTATATTAAAAAAAATCATGTCATGTGTAGATAGAGATGGTTTAACTTCTTTTCCTAGATGTTTTTTACTTCTTCTTTCTTGCCTAACTGCTGTGTAAAATCTCCAGTACAATACTGAACAGAAGTGGCAAAAGCAGTCATTCTTGTCTTATTCCTGATCTTAGGGGGAAGACTTTCAGAGATTCACTATCAAATACGTTAGCTATAGGATTTCTGTAGGTGCCCTATACTAAGTTAAAGAAATTCCCTTTCATTCCTAGTTTATAGAGTATTTTTTAAATGAAAAGGTATTGGCTTTTGTCAAATGCTTTTTCTGTATCTATGAAAATGACTATGTGATTTTTGGTTTTTATTCCATTGATATGATGTATCACATCAATTGATTTTTGGATGTTCAGACAACCTTGCATTCCTGGGATATATTCCACTTGGTCATGCTGTATAATTCATTTTATACATTGCTGGACTTGGTTTGCTAATATTTTGTTAAGGATTATTGTGCTCAAATTCTCATGAGATAAGCTTTGTCTGGTTTTGGTATCTGGGTAATACCGGCCTCATCAAATAAGTTGGGATCTTAGCTGTATCCTCTCTTTTTTTAAATTTTTTTAAAAAGTGAACTCTATACCCAATGTGGGGCTCAAACTCACAACCCCAAGATCAAGAGTCACATGCTCTTCCAATTGTGCCAGCCAGGCACCCCTGGCTATATTCTTTAATTGCAGCAGAGAAGACACTGGGGAACTCAGAACTGATAGTAGAAGGCCTTCTGAACAGGTTATGTTCTGAACAACAAAGAAAACCTGGCTATTCAAAGGAACCATATTTTATTTTATTTTATTTACTTATTTTTAATTTAAATTTTAGGTAGTTAACATACAGTACAATATTGGTTTCTGGAATAGAATTCAGTGATTCATCACTTACATACAACACCCAGTGCTCATCATAACAAGTGCCTTCCTTAATACCCATCACCCATCTAGCCTATCCCTCCCCCACCTCCCTCTATCAACCCTTAGTTTGTTCTCTATTGTTAAGAGTCTCTTATAGCTTGTTTCACTCTTTTTTTCATTTCCCCTTCCCATATATTCGTTTTCTTTCTTAAATTACACCTATGAGTGAAATCATACAGTATTTGTCTTTCTCTGACTAACTTATTTCACATAGCAAAATACATTCTAGTTCCATCCATGTTGTTGCAAAGGGCAAGATTTCATGCTTTATGATGGCTGAGTAATATTCCAGTGTGTGTGTGTGTATGTGTGTGTGTATACACCACATCTTCTTTATCCATTCATCAGTTGATGGACATTTGGGCTCTCTCCATAGTTTGGCTATTGTTGATAATGCTGCTAAAAACATCAGGGTGTGTGTATCCCTTTGAATCTGTATTTTTGTATCCTTTGGGTAAATACCTAATATTGCAATTGCTGGGTCACAGGATAGTTCTATTTTAAACTTTTTGAGGAACCTCCATACTGTTTTCCACAAAGGCTGCACCAGTTCGCATTCTCACCAACAGTGCAAAAGGGTTTGTTCCCCTTTCTCAGCAGAGGAACTATATTTTAAAGAAAATGTCTCCTATTGTAGTAACAGAGGAGAGAGAACTCTTGGGCAGAAGAACCTAAAAACTACTTTTTCACAGGAAAGCACCAGTGACACCTATTCTGAGATAATCTATCACCTTTGAAAAAAATAACAAAATTAGAATGATTGTGTCCCAAGATATTGTTAGATATGTTTGAAAAGAGTGCCAAAATTCCCCTATGTATAAAGAAAACTGCCTAAAAGACACTGGAGAAGATTAAAATTATTATCCAACATTCCAGTATGAGTAAAAAAATAATTTTTTATTTTTATTTATTTATTTTTAAAAAATAATTTCTGATATAATCACAGCTCTGAGGCAAGACTACGTGCACAAATATTACAATGATTTCAGGAATGGGAAGGAAGTGATGAACAGACTACCTGTGAAAGTTGAATTCAAAAGTGAAAGAGAACATAGGCAAAATCACTTTAGAAATGAAGAACAAACAAGCACAAGGTATGACAAATACCACAGAAAGTGCATGGACAAAGAATACAGAAATTAGTGAGCAGAGCAAAATAAAACAAAGAAAGAGATGACAATTATTGGAAGAAAACAGTGAAAGTCAGAGATAATCCAACTTGCAAATAAGCAGACCCCTACAGACAAAATCCAAATCAAGGAAGAGAACAAATATTAAAAACTACATTTTTTAAAAAAATTTTATTATGTTATGTTAGTCACCATACAATACATCATTAGTTTTTGATGTGGTGATCCACGATCCATTGTTTTCATAAAACACCCAGTGCTCCTTGCAGTATGTGCCCTCCTTAATACCCATCACCGGGCTAACCAATCCCCCCTCCCCCCTAAAACCCTGTTTGTTTTTCAGAGTCCATAGTCTCTCATGGTTCATCTCTCCCTCCAATTCTCCCCCCCTCATTTTTCCCTTCCTTCTCCTAGTGTCCTCCATGCTATTCCTTATGTTCCACAAATAAGTGAAACCATATGATAATTGACTTTCTCTGCTTGACTTATTTCACTTAGCATAATCTCCTCCAGTCCCATCCATGTTGATAAAAACTACATTTTTAACATTAAAAATAATTTCCTGAAATAAAGCATGAATATACATAATGAAAAGACACCATATTGCAGGGAGAAATGACTTAGAACTGTCAGTACCAAAACATTTCCTAATAAAATTATTAAGCTAAAACCCCTGGGGAAATCAAGATAAAAATATCAGTTACCTATGAGAAAAAGGAAATTCCGTTGTTAGACTTCTCCACTGCTAAATTCAGAGCCCCAAATAGTGAGTAGTCTCTCCAATATACTTGTGGGAAAATAAATGACAGAATCAAAGATTTTATATGCAGCCAAGCTGTCCTTCAAACATAAAGGATATAAAAAGTTCTATGCTCCAAGAGCTTAGGGAATATTACACAAATGGGTGCTTTCTAAACTACTAGAGGACATATTTCTGCCTTTAAAGAGAGAATAGAGAAAATTTCAGGAAATTTTTTATTGTATTATCATTTATACACTTGACTGTATATATGATAAATTTCAATAAAAAGTTCATTTTACAAATTATGGAGAAATATATACACGGGAAATGCAAGCAAACAAACAAAAAAGTAAGCAGGGGCGCCTGGGTGGTAGAGTTGGTTAAGCATCCAACTCTTGATCTCAGCTCAGGTCTTGACCTTAGGGTTGTGAGCTCAAGACCCCCACTGGGCTCTATGCTGGGTGTGGAGCCTACTTAAAAAATTAAAAAATAAATTAAAAAAGAAAAGCAATTTGTTTATTAAAAAAAATAAGCAGGGGCTATGATCTTCAGCATGCTAAAATACCAAAGCCTCCAATTCACAATAAAAATAATTATGAATATCTAGGTTCACCTGAGTGGCTCAGTTGGTTAAGCATCCAACTCTTGATTTGGGCTCAGGTCATGATCTCAGGGTCATGAGATCAAGTCCTACATCAGGCTCTGTACTGGGCATGGAGCCTGCTTAAGATTCTCTCTCTGCCTCTCCCCCTACCCCACTGTCTAAAAATAATAATAATGATGATGATGATGATGATGAATATATATCAACTAACAGCAGCAACTTCAATAAAGCAGAAGCTACAGGTTATGGAAGATAAAACTTGATTCACAGAGTAT